TAATAAAACTATCCGTATTTATTTATTTCTCCAGGTTATGTTTTTGGTGTGCACTAAAGGAGTCTTCAAACAGGGGAGTTTTGTTAAAATCATTTTAAGATGCTTTTAATCAATGTTTTTAAATAAATTTTCATATATTAATTAAAATGAGAGTTCAATTTTATTTATGGTTTATTCCACCCTATTCTCTCCTTTTCTTTCCCTTCTGCCAACGGGTGGGTCGGCCAGTTTCTTGTTCCCTCCGTTTTTTTGTTGCCTTTAGTGGCCCCATATAGCGCAAAAAAAAAGTTTTGGCGGCCCAAAATTGGCCCACAGCAAAAACACCTCTCGGTCCACTACCGCTGGAATTTTGATGCACTTTGGGGCGGCCTCCGGCTCTTTTTGCCGATTCTGGCGCACAAGGGGCAGCCATGCAATGCCACATGTTCAACCCAAAACGAAAAACCACATAAACCCAGACTGGCCCTAATCTGGGCCACGGTTAGTTTTCATTCTGGCCAAGTGCCGCCCACATTCCGTAATCCTCTATCCGGCCCAAATGTGCTATGGAATTATGGCACTTTGGTGTCGGGTGATGTTACCAGATCTGGTGGGACACAGCAGTTCAAAGCATGGCACATGTCAGCCAGAATGAACAAATACCCAGGACCCCTAGGCCCTAAAAAAGCCATAACCTTTGGGTGACTCAGTAAACTGAATATCGAATGACCACTGTGGTTCTGGGCAAACGCATATTCACATACAAGTAAAATTACAAATGTCAATGCCTCCCAATAGTTGCATCAATAATGTGTCAAATAAGTTACAAAGATGACCAAATGCGTTTTTTTTAAGATTGTTCATAATTTATTAAACTGGTGATGAACTAGCACGCATTCATTACATTTTAAAAATAACTGGCCTACAAGTCCAACCATGCAAAAATTAACAGAATAATAAAAAGAAAATGCTGTATTAGTAAAGCAACTGAACAGAAAGGCCCGGCAATTTTCTAAAAAAAAAGGCTTTGCTCCCCAAAATAAACAAACTCTTCTGAGACTCAGTGACATTCAGATTGTATTTTATTGATTTTTGTTGAAACAGACTGCATCGGATACTTCTAGAACCATAGTGGTTAAACTACCTCTACTCAACCAAATGAACAAACTTTTGCAGACCTTGGCACGGGAGCACTTGGATATTTTATGATGATTATTGCCTTCCTGACTGGGCCATGGGATCTGAGGCCTATAAGGATGCCCAAACAAAAAAACTATTTGAATAACAAACACTTAACCGGAAAAAGAATACAATTCCTTATGTATTTCTATTATTATATATACAAATTATATATACATTATTGTACTTGACTTACGGGTCTTGGACAGCTCTTCTTATTCCTCTCTTCTTTCTACCTCCATCTCGGTTCGCCCGCAAGGTGAAGCCATTTTTTATGTAGGATTTCTACCTCTTGGTGTGTTGCTGTCGCTGTGAGCCTGTTGTTTCTGACAGTCCTAAAAATTTAGAGACATTGTAGCGGGGGCCAAGCCATTGTGTTGCACACTTAGACGCATCTGGGGGACCTAAGGATAGCGAAAAGTTGCATGCGTGCTGTTCGACAAATTCGTGGTGCGGCCTTTGAGAACATTCTGGCCATGGCGAGGACGCCCTTTGCCTTCAGCTGCCCAACAGCACACAGCTCGACGCCCGCTAGTTAAAATCGGACTGCGCTGATCCAGATTTTCTCATGAGGGAGAAGAGTAGATGTGCTTCCAGCCTCCTTCGTTTTATTTTTTAACTCTTTATGTGGCAACCCATGTACAAATATTATTTTGATATGTCTTTTTTACTTGGACTTTCTTTACAAGGAGTAATTTGAATTGTTGGAATCTAGATCAGTAATACTACTGAGTGTCACATGCAGAAAGGGACTGGCTCACTTAGACTGATGACAGCGCAATGTAACATTACAGTAATGGACATCTTTCAGTTGCAGTCGGATGCCTGTTTTCATTGATGCCACGCCATGAGCTGTTTGGCAGGAGTTGGTAAAACAGTGTTTTCATCACTCGCAAACGCAATCCTTAACGTCAGTTCAAATGACACTCAATGCGTAATCTGAAAGAATAATTTAAAGTTTATGGGATACATGCTATAAACACTAGTCCAAAAAAATAATAATTAAAAAAAATAAAAAATTAACATAAAAAACATTAGTTTCCCTTTCGCTTAGCTGGTATTTAGCATCACTGCTGTCCAACATACAACTTAGGTGCAAGTATAATTAAGAATAGTTTCAAATTGGGTTCCCCATCCTTTACGTTGTTAAGGGCAATTATTAACATTTTGTTTTGAAGGTCTGCCTCTTCCCTCAGACATTTCTCCAGAGCCAGCAGGGTTATATCTTTTAGCGGCAGTATATCCCTGCCAAGGGGATCCGTCCCACCAGCAGGTTCGCCTGGAATTTTCTGCATGGTCATCTGAATGACTTTGAGTTGATCCATCATCATCTCTTGATTTGTAAGAAGTCTATGCAGAAGAGCTAAAAAATAAGGACATTCAACATATATAAATGCATTACAAGATGACTCTTTCCAGCTCTTGAAATTGAAAAATAAGCGGGATCACACATGTGTTCAGGCTGCTCCTCATTTCATATGGCTTTAATTAAGTCGTCGTGCTTGTAGTGAGCTGGCCACTGAAAGGTATCATCTGCAACCCACAGTGCTGGAACTACTTCAACCTCTTGGGTTTCCAGAAACTCAACAATGTGAAACATGGCCTAGAACAGAAAGAGGCACAAAGTTACTAGTTTTAAGAGTATAAACACAGTAACCTTTTACTTTTTTCCAAACTGCAAACTTATTCACATAATTAGAAGTCTTTAAATTAGAAGAAAGCATTTTTTATGATAATCTTTAAAAGGTGAATGATGGCTTAATTGATCATTAATACATGTTCATAATAATATGGGATACGCACCTACAGAGATAAGTGAAGGCAGGCTGGACACTGTCACCGCTGTTATGCACACAAATGATCAACAATTGAGAATATTAGCTTAAAGAGCCTGTGACACGAGTTTCCCCCATCATCCCAGTTTTTTCCCATATATTGATTTATTTGTGGTGGGCCGCCACAATTAAATATCGTCCGCCACAAATAGATCTCGTAAAAAAAACATGTACATTTTTTTATTTTTCATTAAAAAAATAATAATTTTTGAATAAAATATATATTTCATTGTAGAGCGCAGTTACCCACTCAGACCCTCTTTGCGCGCTCTTTGCTCTCAACTGCCCCTGAGCCCCGCCCTCTCTGCAAGACATTTCTGAAGTTGGGAACAAGATAATGCGTGCCGGAGAATCACTTCACGAATGGTTGGTATATGCATACATTTGTCCAAAATGGATGTATTCAAGTTAACTCTGATAAGTTAGTCTCTATGTTCGTATCACGCTGTAAATCGCGGAAACCCAGCTCTTCAAATAAGTTATTAGCTAGCAAGCATGAAAGGGTTGTCGAGGTTAGCACGCTGTGTAATATTATAGCGCTCCTAACGTTAGTCAACTACCAGGGCTCGACATTAAGGACTGCCCGATGGATCGGGGCCATCTAGTATTTAGCTCGGGCAATGAAGCCTCACCTGCTGGTTGCCCAATCAGGCAATCTATTATGCCAGTATCATGCAGCTCGCGGATCCAGTAATGAGTGACCCGACAGTAAAACTAGTTTAGGTAGTTTGAGAGGTAATTAAAATAGCTACGTGTGATATTCTAACCTGAAGTGTGTGTTTTTGTCCGCTCACCACTGCATGTGATCATGCAGCGCTGCTTGTCGACTCGTCAGCAGCAGCTGATCTCTCTCTCCCGTCAGATTAGACTTCACTCGCGTTTATGTCCATATCGATCAGATCCAGCTAGTTCTAGCTAATGATATGACTACCTGCTTATTAAAAGACACCTAAACAATAAGTGTCGCTATGCAACCGGGTGAGGCCACAAAGTATAGCGCAGCATTATGCATTTGTTTACATGCCCACCGGAACCCCGAGGCATTACCAACAGATCAACGCACAATCAACCCATACAGGACATCTCTTTCTCCACATTAAGCGTTAGACATTAGAATTGACTCTTCTTGTCTGTCACATAAATGGCGCAACTGAAGCGGTATTGCGCTAAAGGGAAATTATTTTGACCAAAGAGATTTAGATTTGACGGCTAACGGGAAATCTGACGTCACCATTTTGTGTGCTTCGCGGATGCGCTCGGCTCCTCTCGACTGCTGCTCGGGCCTGCTCGGTCAGCTTCCGGATTAGAAGGCATTCGTTCGACAAACTTACAGTAGATAACATTACAAACATTTTTAACAGGGGCCATAATAGTGTAAATAATGTTTGTTTTGGCAGTTACAACTGAATGTAATGTTTTCTACTTTTTTACATCTGGGAAGGCATTTGCCTTCATCAGATGGAAAGTGTGTTGACCAACAACTTAAGTATTTCTTAAAGCTATGCAGGACATGCAAGAGAGCAAACACAAACAAGAACAAACAAACAAGAGAAATGAAGAATAAAATTGAAAGTGTACAATATAATATTGTGGTGGTTCATCTTATAATTCAGTCTGAGAATGCACCAGACAGCATCTACAGTAAGACCTGCAAAAATCTTTTATTTTCTAGGGGGAGGCCCCCCAAACCCTTCGTGCCATTTCGTCCGCGCACATTTTTCAGGGCAATCTCTATTGGGCTCAGGGCCATCTGTATATTAGCTTAGATGGCCCACAGGGCCATCTCCCAAAATCCTTAATGTCATGCACTGCCTTTAACATATTTTATTTAGCAAGGTGGTACTGGATGAACACAATAAATCACAGCGCAACTTACAAGTTTATGACACTTCATCATGTTGTCAAACTCTTCATTAATCTTTTTGTACTTCTCCTCAGTATGGGGCGTGAGGACGTAAGTGGCGTCAGCGTCAGGGCTGTCGCAGCCTCTGTGCTCCTTCTTGTTCAGGGCCTGGAGGTGGGATAGACAAAACAAAAATGTATTCATAATTATTGTATGGTTTTAATGAGAAATAGCGCTAACATCAATAGTCCTTTGGCTCAGTTTACAGTGGCCGTAGTTGACGTTAGGGATAATGTGCAGCGAGGCGGTCATTATGGGTAAAAGAACACTCGACAGGCAGATCAGGATCCCGACCCATTTAAATCGAATGGACTTCTTTGTGCAGATGTGATCGTCCTTAACAACGGTCAATAAGTGCTTGACAGCGGTCTGTCTGTTCTGGATTAACAACGTGTCACGTGTTCTGAATTGACCAATCAGAATAGAGTATTCAACTAAGCCATGTAATACATTCATTTAAAGCCACATTTTCCACAGAGAGAGTGGTGAGCTGACTACTGAGAGCAGAGAAAGCTTCATGAATCCAAATCCAGTTTGTTAAGAATTATTTACATATTTGGTTGAATTCTTCCTGGTGGAAAAGTCCTGCATTACAGACAAAGATGTTTCAAATACAAGAGAATTTAAACAGCATTACAAACCATGGGTTAAGTGTTTCTCTTTCACAGAACTCAAACAGATAAACACAAATACAAATGTAATCAAATAGACAAGCTAATCAGTTTATACTTAACATTTATTTTGTTATTCAGCATCACAAAACAAAAACATGTGTTTAAGTCTAAAGCAGAGAAACTGCAGAACACAGGATGTACGGTTCAGGTTGCTCCTATCTAACATGTGGTTAAAGAGCAGGAAGGACAACCAACCACTGACACAATTAGAAACCAGATCTAAACCTCTCGAGGTTACGGTCAAGTTTACTTCCCAAACACTGAGGCCAAGTTAGTATTTATGAATGTCTTCAAATGAAGTTTATTTACTGTGATTCTAAACACAGTCCAGAAGAAGGAACCTTTTCACCCTTTGGGAAAGAAGCCTCTAATGCTTTAATCACCTTGGAATCACATTTAAACATTTCATACTAGCAACTTGAATTAACTATCAACTCATAAAAAAGTAGCTGTGAGCATGTTAGCATACTGACTTTAGCATTTATCTAAAAGCATAGTTGTTCATATGTCCAAAGACTCTGTGGCTACAAGGACTTTTCCTTCACATTTTCACTTCAACTTATGTTTGTTAATATGATTTATTTCATTCGTATATGGTGCAACTGTGGCAAAATATTATTTTCCCCTGGGATTAATAAAGTATTTTGATTGATTTAATAATTGATTAATTGATAAACAGTGTTTAAGCTTAAACAAGCTATAATTGCCTAAAAAATGACAAACTTCAACATAAAAAATGATATCACATGACATGATTTCTTTAACACTATAATACCTTGAAAGAGGCTTTCTGCCTACAGTGTACCTTTGATATTTGAATTACATTTTGCTGATAATATTTGTACTGTAACCCTTGTATACTGTACTTCTACCTTAGTAACATGTTTAATTGAGGACTTTTACGTGTAATGGAGTATTTACTATTTTAACTTATTCAGTGAAGGACTGACTATCCTATTTCTGAAAATATAAAGGGTCTATAATATGTGTGTGTGTGTGTGCGTGTGTGGCCTAGCATTACTGTCCTTGTGGGGACCTAAATCTGTTTACACAGTCACGTGTGGGGACTGGCTTCCCTTATGGGGACAAATTGGAGGTCCCCATAAGGGGAATCATTAATTTTAGGGTGAAGACTTTGTTAGGGTTAGGCATGTGTAGTTTATGGTTAAGGTTAGGATAAGTCAACAGGAAATGCATGTAAGTCAATGTAATGTCCCCTGAAGTAATGTATACATGGTGTGTGTATGTATGTGTGTGTGTGTGTGTGTGTGTGTGTGTGTGTGTGTGTGTGTGTGTGTGTGTGTGTGGAGATGTGTGTGTGTAGATGTGTTTGTACTGTGTAGATGTGTGTGTGTAGATGTGTGTGTGTTCTGTACAGTATATGTGAGAGTCGGTATCCAAGGGACACACTGATTCAATTACAGGAGCATCATGTGGAGATTAATGGAAACAAGGGGGAGAGAGACAAGAGAGGAAAAAAGCAAGGAAACATGGAAAGGAAACAAGGAAAGGATCAAAGGAGGGAGGAAAGGAAAAAAGGAGGTAGGAAAGGAGGCGCATATCAATGAAAAAGGTGGGAGAAGAAGAAGAGGAGGAAATAACAAGATGAGAGTGGGCTGTTCATCTGCAAGAGTGTGTGACATTTTCCAGAACAAACGCTCGTTGAGGTGAAAGCGACAAGTGTGTGTGTGTGTGTGTGTGTGTGTGTACATTTGGTTGCAATAGATTAATCTGAGTTTAACCAGTGTCTACACACCCACACACACACACACACACACACACACACACACACACACACACACACACACACACACACACACACACACTGACGCTGGTATGCTACCATATAAGCAGAAGTCACTTGCATTTCCATAATGAATGAGCTTTAGTGAGAAGTGTGTGTGACTTATATAGAAATGCATATTGAAGTCACATTGTTACATGTTCAAAGTCATTAAATGAGTCATATGTTGTTATATGTTTATGTTTGATACGTTTTAACAACATTCAACATCAGAGTTGAATGAATGACTAGTGAATTAAAACGTGTGTAAGTGTCATGCTTGATCCTGATTGGCCAGCATTGCAGAACATGCAGACATTAAACTGACTAATATAAGTTGATTGAAAGGTAGAACACGGAAATATTATTGCACATCCACTCCTTTTATATATATATTTA